ACTCCTCTCCTATCTGGGTCTGTTCAGGCTGCCGTAACAGAAAGCATAGATCGGGCAGCTTAAACAAGAGACATTTATTCCCCAAAGTGCCGGAGCCTGGAGTCTGCAGTCCAGCCGCCAGCAGGGCCATTTCCTGGTGAGGGTTACTTCCTGGTGTGCAGACGGCCTCCTTCTCCCGGTCCTTACCCGGTGGAGAGAGACTCTGCCGCTCTTCCTCTCCTTCTAAGGACACCAAGCCCGTCCCAGGTACCCACCCTCATGACCTCATCCAACCTAGTCCCCTCTCAGATGCTCACCTCCTGCTATCCCGGTGGGTGAGGGCTTCACGGGGTCCCTGTCACCTCCCACCATGAAGAGGGCTTGGAGTGGTGCTGTTAGTGATCCGTCCTGAATTATAATTTTTAAAAAAGACTTTAAATTGATTTTTAGAGAGAGAGGAAGGGGGGGAGAGAGAGAGACATTAAAGTGAGAGTGGAACATGATCCGATGCCTCCTGCATGCCTCCTACCTGGGATCGAGCCCACAAAATGGGCGTATGTCCTGATCGGGAATAGAACCAGCAACTTTTTGGTGCATAAGACAATACTCAACCAATGGAGACACACCAGTCAGGACTTGATATTTTAAAATGTTGATATTCTGGCCCTGGCCAGTATGGCTAAGTAGCCCAAGCACCGAAGGGTCTGGGGTTTGACTGCCAGTTAAGGGCATGTATCTAGGTTGCAGGTTCAATCCGCAGCCCCCATCAGAGCATGTTTGGGAGGCAACCAATGGATTCGTCTCTCTCACATCTCCCTCTCTCTCTCTCTCTCTCTCTCTCTCTCTCTCCCCCCCCCCCTTTGCCCTTTCCATTCTTCCCTCTCTTTTTTCCCTTGACTCTCAATAATATAATATACACTGAGTGGCCAGATTATTATAATCTCTGAATGCATAATAATCTGGCCACTCAGTGTATAATAAGAGGCTAATATGCAAATTGTTCCCTCCACCAGGAGTTCGATCAGCAGGCAGGCCAGCCAACCGCCCACGTCCCTCCCCTTGGCTAGACTGGCTGGACCCCACTCATGCACGAATTCATGCACCAGGCCTCATACACACACACACACACACACACACACACACACACACACACTAGAGGCCCAATGCACAAAAATTCGTGCAAGAGTCTTCCTTCCCCCTACTGCTTGCACCAGCTTCCCTCTGGCACCGGGACCCGGGCGTCTCTCCTCTGGCTTCCCATTGGCACCCAGGACCCGGGCTGGCTTCCCTCCAGCCCCGGCTTCATCAGGAAGGACATCCAGAAGACTTCTGGTCTAATTAGCATATTACCCTTTTATTACACACACACACACACACACACACACACACACACACACACACTGAGTGGCCAGACTATTATGCATTCAGAAATCATAATAATCTGGCCAAATAGTCTCATTCTGGAGAAGTGGTGACAGTTGCATAAACTTGTGACTATCCAAAAACCCCAATGAACATTTTTAAAGGGTGAATTACATCTTAATTTTAAACAGTGAGAAAAAAAAAAAAAACACTATTTATCTTGCTACTGAACTTTTTTGCGGCCTTAACTTTTCCCCCTAAAATTTGTCCCACGTCCTGAGGTGTTTTAAAAAAGTCCCGATCATCGGGACTGTCCCGCCAAAAGCGGGACGTCAGGTCACCTTACCCTAAAATTTGAATGCTCCTCAGCTAAGGAGGGCAAAGCGGGGCCTCAGAGACTACGCGTCCAGGTCCTTCCTTTGCATTAGACACAGCAGTCTTTCCCCAGAAGCGAAGCCTTTGTCTGGGCTGTGCCTCTGACAGGAAAACAAATACTCATCCCTCAGGCTCACTTTGCTTTGTCTGACCCCAGTCTGACCCCCTGACCCACACCCCCCAGCCCTCTCCCGTAGACTCCAAACATCCTCTCTCAAACCCTCCCCATCTTGGGGACTTCAGCTTCCCGCCCTCCCCCCCATAACAGTCTTCCTGAGTCTCTGTTTCTTCCTCGGCAAACCTGAAACCGCCACCCCAGCGCTCCCAGGGGCTTTGAGGTAGAAACTGCTCATGCAATGCTTGCCTGCTAAGTTCTCAATACATGTTTGTTCCAAAAATAAGTAAATAAATAAAACACGAATGTTGTTCACATTGATATCTTCAATACAATGCAACATTCATAAAAAGAGTAATTACACTTAGAGATTCTCATTGGCAAGGTGGGTACGGTATTCCCGTTTTTTCTCACTGGGGCAGTCCCTGCTTCATGCTTTCTCCAAAGAGGGGGTCGTGGGGCACCTCCACCCGGTGGGTGTGTTACCGCTTCTTGAGGCAGACAGGGGCATCCTAGGGTAAGGTGAGCGAGGCGCTGGCCTCAGGAGCAAAATTTAAAGTGGCACCAAAAAACTCAATCATTAAGATAAGTATTTCCATGAAATAGTTAAAAAAATCAAAACCAACCCAAAAATCCATGATAAACAAAACACTTTAAAAAATATATATTTTATTGATATTACAGAGAGGAAGGGAGAGGGACAGAGAGCCAGAAACATCGAAGAGAGAGAAACATCAACCTGCAACCAAGGCACATGCCCTTGACCAGAATCAAACCTGGGACCCCTGAGTCCGCAGGACAAAGCTCTATCCACCGAGCCAAACCGGTCAGGGCAACAAAACACTTTAAAAAAAAATTGTAAATAAACAGGATTGGTCCTGCACCTGCACAGCTCACCTCCCTGGCCTTTCCCTACGTCCTGGCCCTTGTCCAGGTACATTTAAAAACCTTGATATTTTGTGCATCATGGATTTTTTTTGCATGAATGTTGATTTTTAAAGTACATTGCATTCTAGCCGAAACCGGTTTGGCTCAGTGGATAGAGCATCGGTCTCCCGACTGAAAGGTCCCAGGTTTGATTCCGGTCAAGGGCATGTACCTTGGTTGCAGGCACATCCCCAGTACGGGGTGTGCAAGAGGCAGCTGATCGATGATTCTCTCTCATGGATGTTTCTAACTCTCTATCCCTCTCTCTTCCTCTCTGTAAAAAATCAATAAAATATATATTTTAAAGTACATTGCATTCTGACATTATTAAATACACGTTGCATGGGTAACATGTTGTGTATATGAAATATTCCAACTGTCACCCAGTCCTCTTCATCCCGCCCCGGCGGGTCTAAGCCTTAGGTCGCTGCAGGCGCAGAGACCCACATCGGCCACCAGGTGGCGACGCCACGCCTCTCAGCGCCCGGGACCTTTAGCGACTCCAAGGTGGGCGGTGCGGAGGCGGCGTGATGCATCGATCCGGTCCTGGGCTGGGCGGGGGAGTCTGGGGAACCGGGCGTCGGGGCTGAGTCCAGACCCCAGGCTGGCGGGGGAGGGGACACGGCTGTGAGTCACCCGGGAGCCCCCGATCGGCCGTGGGAGACCGTCCCCCGCAGGCCTGCCCGCCTGGCTCGTGAGCCGCCCTCCTGGGGAGACTGTGGAGCTGGCAGGCGTCCCCGCGTGCAGCCGTCCCAGCGCACACGTGTGGCCACAAGGACAAGCAGCCAGTGGCCTGAGGGAGCGGTGGCGTCCGTTTCCCCCTTTGCATCGTGCACATAAGGGCAGCCCCCGCTCCCTGGGTCCTTGAGGATTCAATGGACTACGATACCGGGAGCCGGGTACACTTCGCACGAAACACATAGCAGAGCTCACCCTGGACGGAGGAAACAAAAGTGGCGCCTATCACTGCAAGGGAATCCTAGGTGACAGGATTCCCTTGCAGTGATAGCGAGCCCGACCCATTCCCCGACCCTGATTCCTACCCAGGCCCAGGGGCCAGGTGCTGTCCAACGGTGGAACGGAGTCGCCGGCAGGGGGCGCGCGGCGCGCAGAGGCCCGGCCACCTGCGCCTCCCACGCGCTTCCTCCCGGGACAGTCTCCGCGGGCGGGGAGCGGGAGCGCGGGCTCGCCCCCGGGGCGCCTCGGACTTTGCAGCCCCTGCTTCTGGGGACCTCGAGGCGACCTCCTGCGACCACCAGCTGACCTTTATTTAAGACTTCTTGTGTACCCCGGATTTTTTGTCACGTTTCTTCCTGCAACAGAAGCCGGGGTGCCTTCTCCTAGCACAGGTGGGAAGCAGCCCCCAACATGGGGGACTCCGGGGCGACCTCCCGCGACCACCACAGTTTATTAAGCGCTTAATGTGTACCTCTTCCCCCTCCCTCATTTTTTTATCGCTCCCTCCAACCCAAGGGGGGCTGGCGTTGCCTGCCCATAGACAGGGAGGGACACAGAGGCCTCGGGAAGTGAAATCACCCGGTGGCTAAGGGTCTCAGACTGGGGGAAAGCACCGCCACCCCCACCGCCTGGGAGGGATCGGGCTGCAAGCCGGGACCCCTCTTCTTGCAAGCCCCCTGCACAACCCGGGAAACCCGCGGGCCCGGGACTCTCCGGGGACTGGGAGGGGATTCCAGGCTCCCCGGCCCCCCCTCTCCCCCCGAAAACCCGGGCCGCCTCGCGCGCTGGAAATCCCGCGCGCGCCCCGAAACGCGGCGCGGCTGCCGGGAAATCTGGAGAAAAACTTCTGCTTTTTTTTCTCTCCCTTTTCTGGCACTCACGCTCCCCCGGCGCCTTCCTCCCGGCGCCCACGTGGGGCACCCCCCCACGCGGCGCCCCGCCCCTCTCCCAGCGCCAGCCAATCGCCGCTGCGGGCTCCCCGGTGGGCGGGGCGGACGGCGGCGGAGGCCACGCCCCGTTTGCGCGAGTCTTTAAAGGGCGGCGCCGGGCGCGGCGGGACCAGATCGCTGACGCGGAGGAGCCGGGCCGTCACCTCTCTCCCCAAGCCCTGGATTACTCCCGCCGAGGACCTCGCAGCTTCCCCTGGTCTGCCTGCCGCGGGCCGGGCGTCGCTGTCTCGCGAACTCTCCTTGGGAAAGTGCCTCGGGCTCCCCGGCCCCGGAGTTTGCGCTCTGCCGCCCGGGACCGCCGCGGGCCGCGCTCCACTGTGGATTATAACTGCAACATGACCCTGGAAGAGCTGGTGGCGTGCGACAACGCGGCGCAGAAGTGAGTAGAGGCTGCAGTCCGCGGGCCGGGCGGGGGCCGCGCGCCGGTGCCCCGGGCCGGCGCTGACCCCCCCCCCTCTCTCCCTTGGTCCAGGATGCAGACGGTGAGCGCCGCGGTGGAGGAGCTGCTGGTGGCCGCGCAGCGCCAGGACCGCCTCACCGTGGGGGTGTACGAGTCGGCCAAGCTGATGAATGTGTGAGTCAGACCCCGTCCCCGCGCCGGGTGCGGGGGGAGAGCCCTCCCGCGCTCTGCACGCTCCCTGCTGCACCCCTCTCCTGCTCGGAGCTGGGACTTCCCCAAGAGTCCCCACTACGCACGGAGAACCTCTGTGTGTGTGTGTGGGTGGGGAAGCTGCAGTGTCCTGACGCTGCATCATTTGCAAGCGTCCACCCCCCCCCCCATTATGCTCCTACTTTATCTTCCCCTGCGTCCCCGCCCCCCTCCAGCTGCATGCACACGCTGCCCCCTGCAGACCTGCGGTTTCTCTTTGTTTATGCAAACTCCCCTGTGCATGGTGGCTCCCCCTCCCCTGCCTCCCAGGCCCCCAGCTGACCCGAACCCCTCCTTTGGCCCCTCAGGGACCCTGACTGCGTGGTCCTGTGCCTGCTGGCCATCGACGAGGAGGAGGAGGATGACATCGCCCTGCAGATCCACTTCACACTCATCCAGTCCTTTTGCTGTGACAACGACATCAACATCGTCCGGGTGTCTGGCATGCAACGCCTGGCCCAGCTGCTGGGCGAGCCCGCGGAGACCCAGGGCACCACGGAGGCGCGGGACCTGCACTGCCTCCTGGTCACGGTGAGCTGGGCCTCCCGGCCTGCCCCGCCCCGTACCTGGGCCCCGTGTTTGTCAACAAAGTTGAGCTGGCGGGGCTCGCACCAGCTCAGGGCTCAGCCACGCCAGGCATGTCCCGTGGGCAGCCGCAGCGGCCTCATCACCCCGCGAGCTATTTTGAGCCAGCCTGTTTTCCCCACAGGGGCCCTGGGCCGGGGAGGCTCCCCCTGAACCCAGTCTTTCTCCCTCCCCTCCCTCAGAACCCGCACACGGACGCCTGGAAGAGCCACAGCCTGGTGGAGGTAGCCAGCTACTGCGAAGAGAGCCGGGGCAACAACCAGTGGGTCCCGTACATCTCCCTGCAGGAGCGCTGAGGCCCACCCGGCATCACAACCTGTCAACTTGCTGCCAAAAAAAAAAATTAAAATATTTGACACCCCCCTCCGCCCAGAACAACTCCCCCCAAACAAACTAACCTGCGAGACCATCGGGGGCAGCGTCATTGGAGACTGGAGACACGGAGGGAGAGGGGCGTGCACAGCCCCCGGGAGCAGCCGGAGCCTGGAGCGGCGGCCACGGCGAGAGGAGACGAGGGAGCTGGGCCTGCAGGAGGGGCCCGAGCTCAGGCCTCCGCGGCGCAGGAGCTGCCGTGGGAGAGGACAGGCACTCCCGCGTCCCGGGCGGGTGCCGCCGATGGCACCCCCGCGCGCCCAGAGGCCGGAGCGGACATTCTGCAAACGCAAACGGGCCTGGCGGACGAGGGTCCAGCCCTCGCCAGGTCTAGACTTGGGGACTTGGGGACTGGGGCCGAGGTCGCTCGGCACCCACGGACTCCCAGTTTGCAAACTGCATAGACGATCTATTTTGTTATGTGCACTGTGACTTGAACCACTGAGAGAGGCCGGAAGCTTACAGATACATCTATTTTACGTCTATGGTGACGATGACCTTGTAATAAATTTCTAAAGCTTCTGGGTTCTTGTGTGCATGCTGCTTCCAGGAGTTCCCAGGACTCTTTCCCTCCCCCTCCCCCTCCCCACCCCTCACACTGCAGCAGCCCTGCCCCCAGCCCCTCTTGCAAGCTCACCAGGAAATGTTACTTAAGTCCCTGCTCGCAGCTCCAGGCTCCTTCTCAACAACAGAGCCTCTTCTCTCTGCAGCCGGCGCCACCCAAGTCCAACAAATCTTTGCCTCTATTTTTTTTTTTTTTTTAATTCTCCCTCCTCCTGCCATGTAGCAATTAAAAGACCGGTTTATTACGAAACCTGGCCGCCGTGCCACTGCTGGTACAGGCTGTGCTGGAGCCAGCCCCGAGCTCTGGGCACATTCAGATACAATGGGGGGCGGGGGAGGCTGCAGCCCCGGCCTGCACAGCCATCGGTGGGGCCCAAGGTCCAGAGAGGTCAGGGGCACCTGTGACCTACAGCCTCCGGCCTCAGAGCCTCTGGGCGAGGCTGGACCCTGCTGGGAGCGTTCCTCTGGTGATGCCCCCCGCACCCCCCCCCTCCCAAGGTGCCCCCTACCCAGGCCTTCTCCCTTCTAGGATGGGCCTCTTCCCTAAAGAAAAAAAAACAGCTAAAAAACAAACAAACAAAAAAACCTTTTCCCCAAACTAAAATCAACATGCAGAAAAGGACTCCAGGAAGTGTTGCTCCTGGCCCAGCTGGGCTTGGCATGTTGCTGCATTTCGCCTCTAAACCGAAACTGTAGTAGGGGCGGCCACCTCCGTGTTCTCTCTGAGTGACACGCAAGGAGTGCCCCTCCTCCGGCTGGGCCGGAGCGGGAGGGGCCTCTGTCGGGGGGGGGGGGGGGGGGGCGCTGGGCCCCCTGCCAGGTGCCTGGCCCGGGACCTGTGGGCATGGCGTGGGGAGTCCCACCGCAGCCAAGACCTTTCCACCAGCCCACGTGGGCAGAGGAAAGCCCCAGCGGCCCTTCAGGAGTCATGGGGCCGGGGGAGCCCCGAGGGGGAGGATGGGTGTGAGTGAGAGGAAGAGGGGAACTCCCAGGGGGAGGGGGAGGGGCAGGAGCCCTTTGAGGGCTGGGAGAAGGGGAGAGCACTCATGGGGAGGGAGCCCTGAGAGTGGGGAGCCTGGGGTAGGAGGGCGGAGGAGCACCTGCTGAGGGTGGGGGAGGGGAGGTGCTAAGAGAAGGGACCCAAACCCTGGAGAGGGCGTCAGGGGAGCACAGGGGTGAGGGCGAGGCAGAGGGAACACGGAGGGGCTGAAATAAACCTGTAGGGGGTGCAGGAGACAAGTGGGGAGGCCAGACGGAAGCTCCCGGTGGAAGGAAGGGGTACTCCGGGGTGTGTGGGGGGTGGATGGGGAGGAGATCCCTGAGAAGGAGCTGGAGAGGGAAGAGACCAGGGGAGCGGGGAGCAGAGGTGGAGGGATCCCCCTGATGGGGGCCCACGGGGGAAGGACTGGCACAGACAAAGGTCAGCCCGGCGGCCTGGAGCTCGGGCTGTCCGTGTTCGGTCGGCTCCTCCCAGGGAGGCCCGTCCCTGCAGGTCCTGCCCATAGATAGGCACAGGCCACTCCGTCCCCATGGTGACCCTGGCCGTCCGGAAGGGCCGAGTGACCTCTGACCCTCTCATGGCTGTGTCCCCTGTGCAGTAGGAGATAGAAAGACTCCAGCTTCTGGGCCCCCAGGAAACAGCAGGGTCTGGGTGGGACTCTGGCTCTGTGGCCACAGGTTCCTTCTCCCTGTGCCTGATTCCCCTCTGCAAAATGGGGCAATAATGCTGCCTGCCGATCGCTTGTTGCAGAGGTTCAAGGAAATATATATTTCTGAGGTCAGTATAGAAAGTATAAAAGAGCCGTTCGCCATTACCGCCACTTTCACAGCCGCCCTGCCAACCAGCCTGGCGGAGACCAGGGCGAGGCCAGGGAGACACAAATGTCTCCGAGCAAAACGGAGAAGAACAACGTCCAAAAATCCAGTCGGCAAGCTAAAGACCGCGTTACAGCACTATTTGATAAGCTGAAATGCAAACAGAAAAACAGAGAGAACTCCCTGGAAACAAAATTGTAAACCAAGATAAGATCGACATTGCCTCAGGCTGCAGCACCTCTCTGCGGCCCTGTCCCATCTTCCTGGAACCGGGCACTCCGTTTGCAGGTGGACACATGAAGGCCCGGACCCCGGACTCCGTGCACCCTCATCAGCATGAACGCTGAGGGCTGTGACTCTCGTTTTTTAAATTTCTGTACTTAAAAAACATCCTCACAGGAGGACATATTTTGTTGTTGTTGTTTGTTTTTAATGAATGTTGGGAGAGAGAACGGGAGAAACGTCACTGTGAGAGGGACCATGGATGGGTTGCCTCCCATGGTTCCCACATCCTTTTGGGGTAAGGAAGGAGGCTCCATCGTGACCAGGGCCAGGGCCATAACTCTTGGTACTATTATTGTTATTGTTGCCGGTCTCATTGCTGCTGCCATGAATAAAAGAAGGAAGTCTTCCTGGCTGGACCCACAGATGTCCAAAAATCTGCTTCGAATGCTGCCCTTTCGCTGAGTTAACAGCAGCCGTTCCGTCTCCCCTACCTACAGAACCTCTTGGCTTTGACCATGTTCCCACGAGGACAGAGCTGTTGTCCCCTTGGCCAGAAGGGGAGACCGAGGCCCAGCTGGGAGTCTTGCATTGTGGGTAGCTGGCTAGTCAGCTGCTGGGGTGATGGTGGGAACGGGGCTCACCATCCCCGTTTCCTGTCCCGACACCAGAGCTCACGGTGGTCCAGGGAGACATTGCCACCGGCCACCACGGCTCAGTCACAGCGGCGGGGGCTTCTTTGGGTGCAGACACGCTTCCCCAGCTGGGGTGGCTGGAGTGCATGCTCACCTTGGGGTACCCATGCTGCCTGTGTCCACACCTACACTCATGGGCCCAAGACATGCATGCATGCAGGCACACACCCCCCCCCACTGTGCAGATACACACATCCCTGGAGCCATGCACACAGCTCCCCAAACGCCACACACACTGGACCTGCTCAAGCCCGCCACACACCCCACCCCCTGGGGCCAGCTGCTTAGCTTCTCTGAGCTGTCTTTCCATGTCTGTCCAATAGACCCACCTCCTCTCTCCCGCACATACCTACCTGTGTACACATACACCATAGACACAGAATCACACGCATGGTGACTGATGCCTCAATGCATTAGGCCTCAAAGGTTGCAGGATTCCAGCTATGTCCCTGAACCCTCCCTGCCTGGAGAAGAGGGAATGGCCTTGTGAGCACATCATGAAGCCTATACCACACCCTGGACTTGCGGACCAGGCTCCTATGGGGGCCAGAAAGGAGACAGACACGTAGGGCAGTGATGTTGGGAGGAGCAATAGAAAAATCACTGACAAATCCTGGTCGGGTAGCTCAGTTGGTTAGTCCAGTGGTGGGCAAACTCATTAGTCAACAGAGCCAAATATCAACAGTACAACGACTGACATTTCTTTTGAGAGCCACATTTTTTAAACTTAAATTTCCTCTAACGCCACTTCTTCAAAATAGACTCGCCCAGACTGTGGTATTTTGTGGAAGAGCCACACTCAAGGGGCCAAAGAGCCACATGTGGCTCACGAGCCGCGGTTTGCAAACCACTGGGCTAGAGCATCATCCATATATGCCCAGGTGAAGAGAGTCAGGGCACATACAAGAATCAACCATGAATGCATAAATCTCCCTCCTTCTTCTTCCCTCCCTGCCTCCTTCCCCCCACCCCTTCCTTTCTCTCTAAAAAAATCAAGAAATAAAAATGTAAAAAATAATAAATAAAAATCACGGATGGGGCATTGGGCCAGTCCGTACCCCCTCCCCGCCCCCCCCCCCCCCCCCCCGTATCTCTTCATCCTCACAACCACCTCACACGGGGCCTGTTATAGCCACATGGGCTCAGGGGCAGCAGCGGCCGGCACAGGGCACACAGCCGGATGCCGACAGAGTCCCGGCCCGGACCGAGCCCCGGCCTGTGGGCTGCAGAGTTAGGACTTGATATCTATTTATATTTATATATTATCGCGATATATACCATAAAATCATTCACACACCATAAAATTCCCCCCTTTAAAGGGCAATTCAGCGATGGTTAGAATTCCACACAAAGTTGTGCAATCATCGCCACGGTCTGGCTCCAGAACATTCCATCACCCCAAAAGGAAAACTCAGGAGCAGTCAGTCACTCGCCACCCCTCTCCCCCAGCCCCTGGCTACCAGGAGTCCCACTTTCGGTCTTGGTGGATTTGCCTGTTTCGGACACTTCTTATCAATGGAATCACACGCTCCCTGGCTTCCGTCCCTTACACAACATTCGGGGTTTCATCCACAAGGCAGCACGAGTCTCTCTCACAGCCGGGACTTGTATCATCTTCCTGTATCTGT